GCCGAAGGCAGACGCTTAACGACTGAGCCACCCAGGTGCCCCTTGATGAGCCCGTTTTAATTTCATATTTGGTAGTTGGTCAAGATACTGATTTTAGCATAAAAGTTGACCATATTTTATTTACCCAAAGGATACAAACATAGTGATCCGAAGGGGCACCTGCAGTCCAATGTTTATAGAAGCAATGTCCACAATAGCTAAACTGTGGAAAGAACCCAGATGTCCGTCGACAGATGAATGGATAAAGAAGATGTGGTTCATATATACAATGGAATATTACTCAGCCATCAAAAAAGAGAAATCTTACCATTTACATCAACATGGATGGAACTAGAGGGTTTTATGGTAAGTGAAGTAAGTCAATCAGAGAAAGACAATTATCATATGATTTCACTCATATGTGGAATTTAAGAAACAAAAGATCATAGGGGAAGGGAGGGAAAAATAAAATAAGACAAAATCAGAGAGGGAGACAAACCATAAGAGACTCTTAACTATAGGGAACATATTGAGGGTTGCTGGATGGGAGATGGGTGGGTGGATGGGGTAACTGGGTGATGAACATTAAGGAGGGCACTTGATGTAATGAGCACTGATGAATCACTAAACTCTACCTTGAAACTACTAATACTATATGTTAACTAATTAAATTTAAATGAAATTTTTTTTAAAAGTTGACCATATTTAACAAATATTTAGGGATGCCTGGCTGGCTCAGTCAGTTAAGTGTCTGATTCTTGATCTCAGTTCAGGTCTTGATCTCAGGGTCTTGAGTTCAAGCCCTGTGTTGGGCTCCATGCTGGGTGTAGAGCCTTAAAAAACAAAACAAAACATGGGGCACCTGGGTGGCTCAGTCAGTTAAGCATCTGACTCTTGATTTTGGCTCAGGTCATGATCTCAGTGTTGTGAGACTGAGCCCCATGATGGGCTCTGCATTCGGTGGGGAGTCTGCTTTGGGATTCTCTCTCTCCTTCTCCCTCTGCCCTCCCCACACCCCACCACACACTCTTCTCTCTCTCTAAAATAAAATAAATAAATCTTAAAAACCCCCAAATATTTAAAAACTTTAATAGTTTGTCATAATTATCAAGGTGAAAGTGACTGCTTTTGGGGGAAATCTTTTATAAAATTACATAATGTTTAGACAACTGTGCAAATATAACTTTCTAAATTACTTGATATCCTTCTTCATGTCTTCTAGAAGTGTACCAAGGACCTTGTTGGTAGCAAATAAAGATTGCTTTAATAACACATCCTATATGCACACAACAAACCATCATCTCAAAATGTACTGGGATTATGGTGGGATGGGAGCACAGTCCAGAAAGGCCTGAAAGTGTGAGGTAGTTACTAGAAGAAAAAACCTATTTCTTGCTTGGTGCTAAACTTGCCAGAGGGTCAGGTTGAACTAGAAGGAAGTCTTAGGGTCTAAAGTTTTAGGGCCTACAATACAAACACCTATAGCAAAAATTACAAAGGGGGAAAATCACCTTGTAATTCTAGCACTCTAACACATTAATTGCTTTCATTTTCTCTGTTCACTTTTAGTCCTTGATTGTACACCTTCATTTCATGTAACTATAACATAGGCACAATGGTACATTCTTTTCTTCACTCAACATTATAATGTGAACACGTTTGTCTTAGTTGCTATTTTAGTTGCAAGGAACATTCACTCAGTCAAGTTAAATTACCTCAAAAAAAAAAAAAAGGTGTGTGTGTGGCTAATCTTGCACAAATCCCAGGACAAGAACCTAAGACAGCTAAGTTCCATGGGAATTGGAGCCAGGACACAGCAAGCCATCAGCTACCGGAGCTGCTCTTAGGGGCCTTGGGTGGGCCTGCTCATCTCTGCATTTCCGTTCCACACACTCGTAACTTCAGTGGTGCATCACCAACAATGGGCTCCCCAAACAACATGACCTTACGGTTCCAGAGTTTTCAATCATCCTCTCTTCAGATCTCTTAAAGTCAAGTCCTGATTTGATTGATCTCATCTCTCTTTTCCATCCAGTTAGGCCACAAGAGTCAGAGGTTTCTGCTCAGCCTGTGGATTGGCTGTCACTAGCTCAGGTGGACCAACAGCTTAGTCCAGCGCGTGTGGCTCCAGACACTAGCTCTGCAGGCAGCAAGGCCGTGTTCAGGGACCCCACCCCCCACCCCAAGCAATGCATGTGGGTGGGCAGGCACCAGCTCTCTTGTGCCTACATTGTCTTCATAACTAGGAACTTCGATGAATGCACACTACGTCAGGTCCCACCATTTAGGATCCCATTCCTTGGCTGTTAGTGTTAGCTTCAATTTAGCTCCTTCCTTTTGGTTTGGGGGCTGCTACAAGTAAAACTGTGATGAACATTTTTATGCATCTTTCTTCCCTTTCATCTGGATTATATAAAATAATCTTTCAATCACATTGAAATAGCATTCTCTGAGCACCTTGAGGATATAACACATAATCTTACATTTTCTTTGTTTAAAAAGTACCTGTATTTGCTAGAGATTTGTACATAGGCAGTTATGGGCAAAATAAGAGGATGTGATATCTGGGATTTGCTTCAAACCCTCTAGCAAAAATACGGGGGGCAGTGGGGGAGAGCCGAAACCAGACTGGTGAAATGTTGAGGACTGTTGGAGCCAACCATAGATACATGGGGATTTCTTCTCTACTACTGCCTCTATTTTGCTGTTTTTCCCACTTCACTTCTTTTCCTCTCCCTTCTGGGTTTTTTGTTCTTTTCCCCATGTTTCCTCTTGCTACTTGGTGCCCACATGCTTCCCTCTGGATTCCCAAAAGTTTTTCTCTGGTTTAGTCACCCCTGATATCTGCTTCAGAGTTCCCTTTTCCTTTATGGGGAAACTCCAGTCCATCCATCTACACATCCAGTCAGTAACTCATTCTCATACGCACTTTGAGACTATGTATTGGGCAAGACACTGTAAAAGGTACTAACTGTAGTTACCTTCATGGTCTTTGATGTTACCAGACAGCTGTTAAGAGGAAGGCAGTCAGTCAAGGGCGCCTGGGTGGCTCAGATGGTTAAGCGTCTGCCTTCGGCTCAGGTCATGATCCCAGGGTCCTGGGATCGAGTCCCGCATCGGGCTCCCTGCTCAGTGGGGAAGCCTGCTTCTCCCTCTGCTTCTCTCTCTCTCTCTCTCTCTCTCTCATAAATAAATAAATAAAATCTTAAAAAAAAAAAAAACATTGTTTTAAAAAAAAGAGGAAGGCAGTCACAACTTATTTTGTACCATGAAATAAGAGACAGGCCGGTAACACTCCTGGGGATAACAGTATTTGAGAAGAGGAGCCAAGTGCCCTCTGGCCGGGTGGGCGGCATGATAAAGCACAGGGCACACTGGCAGGCAGAACTGGGAAGAGGGTCTTCTCCTCCAGTACCTACCTCCCCCTTCCTGCCTTTTTGCCTGGTTGTTTTCAGACTTCAGGAATGTCCAACTGGAAGTTCCAATATGAGGTCGTATTTATTTAGTAAAATGGAAATTGTACCTCTTGAGGTGCTGGGGATTTTTGTAACCTTTAATATAAAGCATTAAAGAGTCTCCAGTGCTCAAGGAAATTTATACCTTATGTTCATGCTGAAAAAACAAAACTCTAATAAGATGGCTTAATTTTGTCTTCATTTCCCAAAGCATTAGATTACAAATGCTATGTGAACTGAGTGAAATCGCAGGGGGAGCATTCTGAGGTCTTTCTGATTTTAAAAGTCATGATGTAAAAAAAAAAAACCCAAAACCAAAAAAACCCAAAAGTCAAGGTGATTCCCGATTCTCTGAAGTTGGGACACCCAGAGGCATGACTGTGCAACCCTGTGGGTGCCTCTGTCCTGCAGGGATTGAGACTTTCCTGGAGCTCCCCACAGTTCCCTCCACGTGCTGCTACCTCTGCATTCCTCAGCTTGGACTGTATTTGCATCTGTTCTTGTTAGTCTCCCTGGCTGGTCTGGGAGCTTCTGTGGGATGACAAGGGTTCAGTGCCTGGAAAGCAGTTGGGCCTCAGTAAATATCAGTTGAATGCAAGACCCCCCAAAATTATTTTCTTAAAAAAAAATCCCCATCATCTTCTCCCTTATCGATTCTCCCCTGCACAGACCCCAAGATGCTCCCCTATGTTAGCTTGACTCTGAGGACCTCCTGATGAGAAAGTAAATACTTCAAAGAAACTGCCTCTCAGAGACTCAAAAAATGCAAATGATTCCCCCTAAAGGAGTGCCCACTGCAGGATGGAGACACCTGGATTCAGGCCACCCTCCATAGGCCTTTGCTACCAGCTTTCCCCTTCCAGAAACAGGATTGTTACCTTTAAACTGTGCACTGCTATGTTTCTTTTAACAGAACTGTTCAAGGATCTCCAGACATAAGCTTGTAATTAAGACCGCACAAAAATCAATTCAGAATCTACTGTGAGCACAGCAGGTCAGCAACAAGTTTATTATTAGACTGGCAAGGTCACAGACTGGTGCATGGCTAAGTATTTGGGCCAACTTTCCTTGACTTTCTTTCCACGGGCTTCTGCTGTCAAATTTCTCTTCTGGTGTTTGCATCCATTTGCCGTGGTTGGTTTGTCTTTACGGGGGAGGGGGGATGGATGGAGTGAGGAGGGGGAAGCAAAGCAAAAGAAGTAACATGGAGTGAATGCAGGTTCCCTTTAGAGACTCTCACAGTGACTCGGGGCAATTCACCTGATCTGTGATAGTCATTTTCTCAATGTCAATATCATTAGAGGTCAGGATATCTTTTAGATAGGTCACCGTTTCTGGAGGGAGATAAGGGTTTCTCCCCAAGATCCAAACATGATCCATGTGAAAAAGCCAGACGATTGTGGTGCAGGAGTACACGAGGGCGTAGTTCTCGTAGTCGGTGGCCAGGACCCAGTATGGAGCTGAGGGCATCACTGAGAACCAGAGGAGGGCGGAGTCAAGAGGGGCCAGGGCAAGAGAACCCTCATATCCAGGACCCTGGTAATCAGTCCTAGTTCTTCTCATGAGTGCTTTTTTTTTTTTTAAAGATTTATTTATTTATTTTGAGAGAGTGAGAATGAGAGAGAGAAAGAGTACATGAGAGGGGGGAGGGTTAGAGGGAGAAGCAGGCTCCTCGCCGAGCAGGGAGCCCGATGCAGGACCCGATCCCGGGACTCCAGGATCATGACCTGAGCCGAAGGCAGTCGCTTAACCAACTGAGCCACCCAGGCGCAACTCTGGCTTCATGTGGGAATCTTATGGGAGCTCTGAAAAATCCTAGGCCACCTCCCTCCAGGCTTGCCCAGTTTCTGATGTGGAGGTGGTTGGGACTCTTGAAGGCTCCCCCATGATTCCAATGTGCAGCCAGAGCTCAGAGCCATCATTCTGGATCCTCCCTCCCTGGGAGCAGGTCGGTCCGCAGAAGGTGATGGTAATGGGGGGTTTTGCCGGACCCCCTAGGCAAACAGGCTGCTCTTAGCACTAGTACAAATGGAGGTACCACTTAGATAAGTGGAGTCAAGAATGTGAGGTCAGCGGCGCCTGGGTGGCTCAGTCAGTTAAGCGTCTGCCTTCGGCTCAGGTCATGATCCCAGGGTCCTGGGATCGAGTCCTGCATCGGGTTCCCCGCTCAGTGGGGAATCTGTTTCTCCCTCTGCCTGCAGCTCCCCCTGCTTGTGCTCTCTCTCTCTGACAAATAAATAAATAAAATCTTAAGAAAAAAAGAGGATGTGATGTGAGGTCAGGGGCCCCAGGCTTTCCAAGTCTGTACTTCCCAGCTTCCTCTAGAACCTGCCTGGGGAAGGAATTAAGGACTAATGGTGATTTGTTTGTTTTTCTGTGTGACCTTCAAAAGTTCCTGTTCTTAAGAATACGGTAAATCACGTGGTAACAGGTTATAAACTCTTCCTCATAAGGGGCATATAAAGATTCATTGATTGAAATCTGCATCGTATCAAAAGTTCAGCATTAAAGGGTCCTTACGAAAAGAGAGGGAGGATTTACCTTCTCCATCTGAATCCAGAAATTTCCTCTATGGACTTACCTCCACAGCCATGGTCCAAGGCAAGGAAAAGTCATAGCCCACCTTGTTAAAGTTAAGTGGAAAATGAACCCACATGGGAGAAAGCTGTGTGCTGAGCCCATAAGAACAAAAGATTTGGACACGTATGCCGTCATGTGTGGTTTGCTTTCCTGGGTTTCAAGCATCCCACCTCCTCCACTCAAAAATAATCCCTCTGTTTGCCAAGTCAAACCAGATCTCAACACTTGTGAATGACCATGAGAAGCTGCCCAAAGGAGGCTGTGTGTGAGAGGTTAGAGCTTGGCTGGGCATCAAGGACCCAGCTGGTCATTAAGATAACACAAGAGGGCTAGTCCAGATGACCACCCAACAAGGTCCCTCCTCTCTCGGACTTTCTGCCTGTTTATAAATATGAAAACAGAAGGACTCCTGGTGGAAAGAAGCCTGTACAAAGCTATGGGGCCCACACTGAGTGCTGTTTCCTGACTTACCTTTCTAGCCCTGTTGGTGCTGGCCTGCCAGGCTCACCCATGAGAGCTTGTATTCATCAGATATCTGCTATCTGTGAATTTCCACTGCTTTGTGCATTCCCGGCTGGACCGAGAACTCTGCAGCCCTGAGTAGTCGGGGGGCAATATGTCTTCCAACCTCTTCTGGCAATGGCATCCTGTCTTACCTGCACACAGCCAGGCGTTCACAGGCTGTCTTCCTCCCACAGGGTCTAGCTCTCAAGACACACTTACCCAGACATTTCCTCTCAGCAAAGAAAATGCCCTGTCTCTTTGTTAGGAAACTCTGACAACCTCCTACTGCTTATGGAAGACACTCCAACCCATGAACATGGCTTTTGAGGCTCTGCCCAGTCTTGTCTTGTGCTCCACATACCTGCCCATCCTCTGGGCTTCTCCCTGCAGGCCTTTCCTCCTGCCATTCCTGCACGTGCAACAGCCTTTCCCATAATGTCCCCCACACCCTGGAAGACCCAGTGCAAACATCTGACCCCTCCACCAGAGTAAATCTCTTCCTCCTCTGCTTGCCCTGCCGGCAGCTCCTGCCTCTTTGAGCTCCTGTTCTGGGCTTCCTTTGGAAGGTCGTGCACACGATATTTGGCCTTGCCTCCCATCCCCATCCCTCACCCTGGAGTTGGGAGTCCTAGGTTTTGGTTCCTAGTAGGCCTCTAATTAGTCCAGTGACCTTGCCTCCATCACCTAGCTTTTCTGCACTTTGACTATCTTATTTGTGAAAATAAGCAAGAGAAACTGACATGTACAAAGCCCCTTGCAGCTTACAGAGCATGTGCCATCTCATTTACCTTTACGCTACCAGGCACAGAGGTGACGTTAATTGCCCGTGGTCCTATGTGCGGGCAGAACTCTTTTCATCTCCCAGCCTTCCTATCTTGGTGTATAAACTAGGAGCTTCCTCTCTGCCCCGCTGCAGGGGTTTGATGGGAGGTGGGAGGAGGGGTTCCTCTTGCAGCTGTGACTTCAGTGTCCGCCTCCTGTGTGGGGAGAGAGACCCTCGAGCAATTTGGGCATTAGGAAGTCTCACATTTCTGAGCTGGCTTCTCCCGTGCGTCGGTATCAAGAGTAAAATGAGTATTTGGTGCTCTCTCCGTTGCCTGGGTCCATTCCTCAGTTAGCCCAGAGCTCAGAGGGCAAATGCCCGTGATCAAATATCCCTCAGGGAACCCCACAGTGTGGCGAGAAAGTGGCAGACAGAGCCAGGGCTCAAAGTTACCTTCACTCTTGTCATCTCTTGTTTCCAAGCTTTTGCACATATTGATTGTTCTGCTAATATTACCACTACTAGTTATAACTACCATTAAGTACTTATTTTTTGGGCCTCCATCCCCTCTGGGAAACATGACAGGATTGGGTCTCCTACTGCTCATGCCCTTGTGCTGTTATCTGTGCTTCCTCTATTGAAACATGGTAGTTTTATAGTAAATTGCCTGGGTACTTGTCAGTATCCACACTGGGGTGTAAGCCCCTCGGGGACAAGGGCCAGCGCTGCCTGGCTCATCATCGCATCTTCGGTGCCTCGCCCCGAGCTTGGCAAGTAGCAGGTGCTCAACAAATAATTATGTATTAAGTCACTACGGGTGACACCCAGATGTGACAGGACTGTTCCTACCCAGGGCTCTGACTTACCATTCTAGGTAGAAAAGGCTCTAGCTTTCAGTGTGCATACCTCCTATCCTGAAACCTCCTGAGGGAAGTGAATACTTACACCAGAAGAACTTAACTCCCAGCTTGGCAGGCTCCGTAAGGTTGCCCTGGGTGGCTTCACCTTCAATTTGGTTCACGGTTCCATCAGATCTGTAATGAGTTAAAACAAAACACCTTAACTCACTGGAAGCCGAAAATCAATGAAAGGCAAGATGTGTAACACTAAAGGACCAGGACGCCAAGACTGTGATTGATGGTTAGGAAGGCTCTGTCTCCTTTCCTTTGTCACTGTCTCAGACCAAGCGGAGGAAGACAGCCTTGGAGTGATAAGAAGCAACAACTGAAACGCTCCAGGACCGGATAATATGTCAGGCCCTTGCCCTTTAGGGCTGTTTTTTGAGTCCTGCAAGGCCATTTCCTGCTCTCAGTCTCCAGAGGGGTGGGAGTAAAAGAGAAGAGAAAAACAGACAAACAAAACAACCCACTACACTAAGAAGATTCACTTCTTTAAAAATGACACCGAACCAAAGGAAAAAAACAAGGACTGCTGTGATTACTAGAAGTCTGGAGATCTGCAAGCTTTCCCTGCTCTTGGGGCGTCAGGGACATCAGTCCGATAAAGGCGTGCATACGCCTGAGCTCTGAGACCCCTAGCCAGTCCTGCAAAGCTTCTGACTGAGTGCGGGAGGTTTTGACACAGGTCAGGTAAATCAGCAGCGAGGAAACATTTGTGATTCTCAGAGACTTAGTTAAATGTGAAGAGACGCACATCTTACACCAGATGCCACCTTACACGTACAATCGGTCGTTTCTTAGTGGTTTATAAAATGGTGGTGTGTCTTAAAAGTGATGATCTTAGGGCGCCTGGGTGGCTCAGTTGGTTAAGCGACTGCCTTCGGCTCAGGTCATGATCCTGGAGTCCCGGGATCGAGTCCCGCATCGGGGGTCCCTGCTCAGCGGGGAGTCTGCTTCTCCCTCTGACCCTCCCCCCTCTCATGTGCTCTCTCTCTCTCTCTGTCACTCTCTCAAATAAATAAATAAAATCTTTAAAAAAAAAAGTGATGATCTTAGATTGGATGAAGTACTTTCACTCTTTTCAAGGGAGCTGGCTCCATTTCTGGGTGACGTGCTACGACCCCAGGGACCTTGGGGACAGGGAAAAGGCCTAGGGATGCACCGAAGGAGGGTGCTCACACATCACAGTGCTCTTCCGAGGAAGCTGACGGAGGACCGGCCCGTTCACCACTCCTCAAGGGGCAAACTAAAACTAGAGCAACAGCGTGTCTTAGAAAGTCGGTACGCTATGGTTACTGGCGATCGATGTCCCAGAAACCAGACAATAAGCAACAGGTAAGGACGGATGGCAAATGTACTCTGATGCTGCTGGATGCAGAGTCTGTTTGTCATCAGGTAGGGCTGGAGACCAGACCCTTTGTTGTCACCTGGAACTCAGCTGGGAAGACAGAAAGCAGGGAAGACAGGAAGATGGTCCCTTTTCATTTGCATACGGTTGCTTAGCAACAAACCAGCCTCTTCTCAACAGACTTTCCCCCCTTCCTTCATCATTTATGTTTTGTCCAGAACAGTTTTCAAAACACCAGTCTCTGATCATAAACTCACAGTTTGTTCATGGAAAAAACATACTTGTATTTTCAAGAGTAGCCCCAGATTAACGGAATAGGCTGTATTTATTAAATGATTACTGCACACCAAACACTACGTGATTTACACGTGTTACCTCATCCAACGCTCACAAAGCCCTATGGAGGGAGCTTCTATGATTATTTCCATTTTACAGAGAGGAAACAGAGGCTTAGAGAATGATCATAACTCACTGAAGATCACATCATTAGTATCTGACAGAACCAGCCTTTGAAACCGGGCAGCCTAACTCCCAGCCCGAGCACTTCAGCTCCCAGCCCGGTGCCAACTGCTCTGGCTCTCAAATCCCCTGACCCTGGCTGAGAGTAATCTGCTCAGACGCCGCGCTGTGCCTCTGCCCATCCTGCAGTACCCTGAAAGGAAAACCACACCCCTCCCCCTGAACTAGCAAACCTTTCTCCGTGTGCCCTTGTATTTCAAACACATGTGACCCTACATGCGGAGCAACCTAATACTCAGGACACGGTTCAAGAGGACTCCTGGCCAGCTGCACAGGACAGCCCAAAGACTCTCATGGGTTTTGGGATCCGTGTCATTGTCTGACTCTTGGCCACAGAATGGGACAAAATATTTGAAATGAGGTCATCGCAACTTTAGATGGGTGCCTGCACCCCAGTCCCTGTAGCCCTTCCTGGGCTCTAAGATGAGCTGTTTTTCTCTTCACAGGCCCTTAAGATTTTTACTTTGTTTCTATGATGTACGCAGGGCCAGGGAGTCACCCCACCGTGTCTTGGCTCACAGGAAGCTCAGTGGGCAAGAGGATGGCCACACAAAGCGTCTCTGAGCCTGAGTAAATTCCAGGCTGGGTTGTGGTTGTTTTCTTGGGAGTTGAACACAGCTCTCAGATCCTGTAGGGCACAGGAAGGGCAACCCCTCACCTCCAGCCTTCCTTTCATGTGTCCTCTGTCCTCTCTCCCATTTCACTTCTCCCCGGGTTTGAATCTCAGCGTTGCTGCTTATAAGCTGTGTGGCCCCTGGGCACATTACCTCTCTGTACCTCAGTTTTTCTCATCTAGAAAAGTGGGGTTAATCACAGTACCTACCTCAGAGTCGCTATGGGGATTGAGTGAGCATGTATACTCGTTTACACAGACATCCATAGAGGGCCACACGTGCATACATACACATACAGAATAGTGCCTCGCACATAGGAAATGCTTCATATTTGTTACTACCATTTATTGTTGCTCTTATCTTTGTTGATGGAAGGTGGCTAGGAGCACTTTCTGGGGCTTTTTAAAAGCTTATGTGCGCTTTCTAAAGTATGAATTTTTGTATCAAATAGAAATCCATTAGGGGGCGCCTGGGGGCTCAGTCGTTAAGCGTCTGCCTTCGGCTCAGGTCATGATCCCAGGGTCCTGGGATGGAGCCCCGCATCGGGCTCCCCTCTCTGCGGGAAGCCTGCTTCTCCCTCTCCCACTCCTCCTGCTTGTGTTCCCTCTCTCGCTGTGTCTCTCTCCGTCAAATAAATAAAATCTTAAAAAAAAAAAAAAAAGAAATCCATTAGAAGCCGTCAGTAATAGAAAAGTAGACTTCTACAGCCTATCTTGTTCACATAAGCCAGAGTGGGACTATGTCTGTAATAGTCAAAGCTGCCTGGAGATGCAATAAATTGTCATGGAAGGCGATGAGCAACCACCAGTTCCTGGAAGGATTCAAGCAGAGCTGGATGTCCTCTGTCAGTAGATAATGTACAAGGGCTTCTCTCTTGGTTTGGAGATCAGATGAGAAGGTACCCCCTGCCCTTTGCTATGAGAGTATCTACTTCGCATTGAGAGCAGGAACCCTGCAGTTTGGTTTCCTGTTGAGTCCTTAGTGCCTTTCACAGGGAGTACACATACAACATGATACTCACAAGGAGTACACAATACAGTAAGATGCTCAGCAATGGTCCTGCAAATAAATGAGTGGCTTCTAGTCCCCACCATTCTGCCTGCCAAAAGCTTTCATCTCAGGACCTGCTGTGAACAGGAGTGCAGAGCCAGCCACATCGGCATCCCCCCGAACCAGACTACAAGGGCACCCAGTCACCCCAGGACAGCTCTCTGCGGGCTGGCTCCAGGGCTGTGTTTGCTTTTGAAACCACAGCCACTCACCTCAACTCCTGGTTTATCACCTTGATGTTTCCGTTTTCCATTAGCGAGTAGTTGGCTTGGATGCAACTTCCCTTCTCAAAGCTCACTGGGATCTTCTCAATTTCGTACCATCGTCCAAGATACTGCAGAGATAACAATAAGCAGAGAAAAACCTGTGGCTCTCTGGGGACCTGCAAACTCTTCCCTATTGTTGTCTTTTAGAGCAGAGCCCTTTCCTGGGGAAACCAAGCAAAATGGGCTGCATTGTTCACAACAGCAACCGAGCAAGATATTGATTCAAAGGAAAGTAAGTGAATCGGATGTGCAGGCATTGGTCGAATGCCACATCTTATTCCTAAAGTGCTCTTTATTTAGATATGCTGTCAGTTGCCCCTCCAGCCAAAATCTATGTGAAATTCTAGACTCTGTAAAAGAGAGGGAGCAGTCCAGGTGATGTAAGGTGCCACCTCAAATATTTTGTGATTCTACGAGGCATCTTTGAATTGTGTGTAAAGTCAGATATGTTCACTGTGGGGGACTGGGACTCCAGAGTTGGTTGAGTTCTCCTCATATAACCCCAGACAGGGAGCTGGTCACAAAGGCTTTTGGCAGGTGATCAGGAGTTAGAAGACTGGTATCATTCTTCCACTGGGGGCTTGGTCTCAGTTCATAGCTTTGTGCACAGAGTCAGCCTTAAAGGAAGTGTGCAACGGAGTGGGTGAGGGTGAGGGGAGACAGGTGTTTTCATGCTTCCGTGCATTGCCTTGCATGGAGACTACTCCAATTTACAACCTTCACGGGGGGTAATTTGGTAATTATCTAGCAAACCTGAAAATGCATGTAGTGCATATATGAGGTTATTTGTTGTGGTGCGATATTGTAAGAACTAGACAGGAAACTAGAGTTGAAGTGAGCATTAGTAGGGGACCTGGGTCCATAAATGATGACACATTCATACAATGGAATGTTATACACCCTCTCTTAAAGGAGTCATATGCAATTATCCCCAAAATACATTCAGTGGAAAAAGAGCTGGGTGAAAAACGGGGTATATGGAAAAATGAGGAGAAAGGTTATTATATTCATTTTCTATTGCTGCTATAACAAATTACCACAAACTTACAACGCAAATTTATGGTCTCACAGTTCTGTTCATCACAGTTCCATACATCAAGTGAGCTTGGTTAAAATCAAGGTGTTGGCAGGGCTGTGTTCCTTTCTAGAGGTTCTAGAGAACTCTGTCTTTTTGCCTTGTCCAAGTTCTAGAGGCCACCCACATTCCTTGGTTGGTGAACCCCTTCCCCCATGTTCAGAGCCAGCAAAAGCGGGAGAGATCCTTCTCACAATGCACCTCTCTGACTCTTGTTCCATCATCACACCTCTCTGACCACAGCTCGGGAAGGTTCTCTGCCTTCAGTGATTAGACTGGGCCCACTGGATAATCCGGGCCACTCTTGCCATCTCCAAGTTTATAACTTTCATCACATCGGCAAAATCCCCCTTCCCGTGGAAAGTAGCATATTCACAGGTTCCAGGGATCAGGGTGTGTACATCGTTCTGCCTACTGCAGTTATGTATGTATTTGTGGACGTATACATTATCTCCCAAAAGATACACACGGAACTGTTTTTATTGGCTGCTACTAGGGAGGGAAACTGAGGTAGGAAGGAAACAGGGGTAGGAGAAAAACTTTTCATCGAATGTTCTTTGGTACATTTAGAATTTTGAACCATGTGAATATATTTACTTGGTCAAAATATTAATTCAGAGTATTTTAGAAATTTAAAAATGTATTACTCAACAAAGGAAAATCAGACATGCACTCACCTTCAAAAAAGTCAGACTTTGAACTGAAAGTGTACTGCCAACAGGGGGCAGTATTGCTCCAGTCACATGGCTGTTTGCTCAACTATATACCCACGTTTATGACATAAATGTTCCACTCAATTATTAAAGCATATCTTTCAATTAAAACCACTGAAATTAACATTCATTTAAAGCACCCAAAAATAAGGTTAAAGGTCATTTGGTTTCCTAGGCATCCTCAAAAAAAGCTCCATTTTATACAGATCATTTAAAATAGTTCTATTATTGTTAAGGTGTCTTTAGTGCTCCACAATTAAAACTGAGGAAGCATGATTTTCCAGAAAAGAGGAAACTCAGAGGTGGAAGATTGCTTTTCATGTCATGCTCCCTTATAATTTCATAATATTTTTGTGAAAGCCCTTTCATGGTTTTGGCTCTGTTTCTCTATCCGCATAAGGAGAATGCAACGTGTAAAAAGAATCCTGGAGGGGCGGCGCCTGGGGTGGCTCAGCTGGTTGGGCTTCCGACTCTTGATTTTGGCTCGGATCCTGATATTGGGGTTGTGGGATTGAGCCCTGCGTCAGGCTCCACACTGATTGTGGAGCCTGCTTGGGATCTTCTCCCTTTCCCTCTGCCCCTCCCTGCTGGTGCGCACACGTGTGCTCCTCTCTCTCTCTCTCTGTCTCTCAAAAAAAAAAAGAAAGAAAGAAAGAAAGACAGAAAGAAAGAAAGAAAAGAAAAAGGAAAAGAAAGAAAAAAGAATCCTGGAAAAGAAGAAGTAAAACTATCTCTATTTGCAGATAACATGATTTTGTAATAGAAAATCCTAAGGAATCCACACACACAAAAACTATTAGAACTAATAAATGAAATCAGCTAGGTTAAACGATACAAGATCAATATACAGAAATCAAATAGCTTTCTACACTTACAATGAACACTGTGAATTATGAAAATTCCATTTACAATAGCATCAAAAGAATAAAATACTTATGAATAAATTTAACCAAAGAAACGCAAAACTTATACTCTGAAAAATACAAAACATTGTTGAAAGAAATTAAAGAAGACCCAAGAGTAAATGGAAAGATAACCTATGTTCATGGATTAGAAGGCTTAAAATTGTTAAGATGACAATATTCTCCAGACTGATCTAGATTCAGTGCAGTATTTATAAAAGAAAAATACAAACAACTCTGCCTCTTTGCAGAAATTGACAGATCCTAAAAGAAATGCAAAGGACTCAGAATAGTCAGAAGAACGAAGTTGGAGGCCTCAAATATTCTAATTTCAAAACTTACTACAAAGCTATAGTAATCAATACAGTATAGCACTGGCATGAGGATAGACATATAGAATAGAATAGAGTTGAGAGTCCAAAAAAACTCTTACATATATATGGCCAATTGATTTTCAACAAAGATGCCAAGATTATTCGATGGGGAAAGAACAGTCTTTTCAACAATGAGTTCTGGGACAATTGAATATCCAATATCAAAGTTTCACATCAGTAAAGTGAAAAGACAATCCACAGGATGTGGGAAATATTTGCACATCCTATATCTGATAAGAGACTTGTATCTAAACATATAAAGAACTCTCACCTCAATAATTAAAAGACAAATAACCCAAGCAAAAGATGGGCAAAGGACTCAGACATTTCTCCAAAGAAGACAGACAAATGGACAATAAACACATGAAAAGATGCTCAACGTCATTAACCATCAGAGAAATGCAAATCAAGCCCACAATGGGATACCACTTCGTGCCCACTAAAATTTTAAGGACTATAATCAAAAAAGATGGCAGTAACAAGTGTGGGCAAAGATATGGAGAAATTGGTGTGAGACACTGCCGGTGGGACTGTAAAATGGTGATGCAGTTCTTTTGGAAAACAGTCTGGCAGTTTCTCAAAAAGTTAACGTGGAGTTACCATATGACCTAGCAATTCTCCTCCTAGGTATATGCCCAGGAGAACCGAAAATATATGTCCACAAAAAAACTCCCACAAAAATAAACACACAAAAACCGTGTACATGAATGCTTATAGCAGCATTATTCCTGATAGTTGAAAGTGTAAACAACCCAAATGATGAACAGATAAATAACATGTGGCATTATCCATGCAGTAGAATATTATTTGCCAATGAAAAGAAATGAAGTACGGATACATAGTACAATATGGATAAACCTTGAAAATACAATGCTAAGTAAAAGAAGTCAGTCACAAAAGACCACACACTGTATGATTCCACGTCTATGAAATGTCCAGAATAGGCAAATTCATAGAGACAGGTTGCCTGGGGCAGGGAGAGGTGAGGGGGAAATGGAGAGTGACTGTTTTATGTGTAGGGATGATGAAAGTACTCTAAAACTGATTGTGGTGATGGTTTCATAACTCTGTGATTATACAAAAAAAAATTAAAACATTGAAAGTGAACTTTAAACAGGTGAATGATATGGCATGTGAATTATATTTCAATAAAACTTTTTTTAAACATCCCGCTTTATTCTTCAAAAGACTTTTGTAAATATAGATCAATTATAATTTTCAAAATGTCTTGGGATTTTTTACTCCCAAATTGAAATATAATTCAAATTCCCTGGATTTTTTCTGGAAAGTCTCCTGTGGCTTAGCAGGGTTACCTCAATAAAGGGATCAGCTCGTAATAGTTTTGGAGTAAGTCAATGTAAACTGTCCTGTGTGTCTCCTGCCTACCTCCCCTGTGTGACTCTCTATTGATGGTGCTCCTTCCCCACAGCCCGCGGGGCTCTGAGCTCTCTTCCCTCACACCTCTACCTACTCCATGCCCTGAGAGGTCCCAACACTCATTCACACTGAGGAGGGAGTGACTGGTAACAATTTTAATGTTACACATCATGAGTACAACCTTAAAAAAGATCCAAACTTTCTGCTAAGGAGAAAATGTCTTAAGAGGGAGATTCTAGGCATGAGGTCGCAGCAACGGAAGCCGTTTCGTGTTACCCAGTAGCTGCCTCGGCAGTTCCCTGCGTGTACATATGTACACATATACACAGTAAGGCTGGGCCTGATCCCACAAAGAAAAACCACATACGGGGGATCTGGTTATATTGGTATCTTTTTAGCATAGGGAACAAAAAAGCCTCTTGGGGGAGTTCTGTCTTCTTCTAGGCCCTGCGTGAGGAACCCGTGGGTGTCCTGCACAGTGGCGAAGGCTGGTTTTGAATCCCACTCTGCACTCATTAGCCGGGTGACCTGGGTCGGTGATGAGCTGTCTGATATTGAGCTTCTTCATCCGTAGAATGCGGGTAATAGCTCTGGAACAGCGGCTGCCCATGAACTGCCCCATGTCCTCTCAGCCTAGCTGGGTTCACCTCGGCCACCTTGGACAATTCCCACACACCGCCAGCTACCCACCTTGAGCCCATGCCTCTCCCTCTGCCGGAAGGCCTTGCCAGCACCACGGGAATACCCACAGCCCGCTCACATCCCTCCGTGCGACAATCTGAGGAGCATTCTACACATTTCCTCAGAGGATCCCTAGCAGGACGGAACCCTGTTGTTAACAGTGTTACTGTCGAGGAATGCATCCTTTATTGCTGTCCTGCTTCTCTGTCCCTTCCTCACGTGCCCACGGTGCTTCCTGGGATCATCTTCCCCAAACCCTTTGCTCCCCAGTTCTTGCCTCAGAGTCTGCTTTGGGGGATCTCCCAATAGGATAAGTACCTACCCCAAGGCTTGCTGTGGGACTCAAAGCAGAATACTCACACTGAAGCCTAGAGGATGATTATTCAAACCAACAGGAGGTTAGCCTTTTACCGCACCTTATTCACATCAAAATCCTTCTGCACTGGAGGGCTCGGGCATTTCCCAAGGTGGAAGGCTTGTCCGTCCACAGCACTGAAGAGGCCGACCAGCACAGAAAGCAGCAGCTCCCTCACCATCTTGGGGCTGAGGATGGAACCTGGAGTTCGGAGAAACAAAGCAGCTCCAGTCATTCTGGGCCTCCCGAGGACACGCAGTCACCAGGGGAAAATTTCTGGGGACCTCTCTGGGGACCTTCCCCTGAGCCTTTTTGCAACAGTCACCCTGCAGGGTCACCTGAGTCAATGGCACTGTGAGCCCTTCCACCCCGGGGAGCCTCTCCAGACCTTTTGTCCCTCCAGGAGAGCACACTCTGCCTGGTGTTGGAGCTCGGGATTTATTTTGCAACTGCTCCCTCCCAAGTATGCATTTTTCAAGGATGGACACTCCCAGAACCTGGGAGTGTCAGGCACAGTCCAGACTTGTTGATGGAGAGAAACAATGTGGGGTGGGGGTAGGCAAAGGGGGAGGTGGAAGCTGTTGAGTGAACCAGGCAAGAGAAAAAAGATGAACATAAACCGTGCATGACATTTAGTGTCTTATGAGAGTCGTAAGAGAAATGCCTCCCTGATCCACACCCCACACCCCACCTTAGGGGGCTGTTTACCAACTCAGGAGTAAGCCTGAGACCTGAACAGGCAGCCGTGTGCTGGGAACCCCGCGGTCACTCCGAATGGGTTTGAATGTGGGCTTTGCCACATACTAAGTATAACTGTGTCCAGTTCACACTTTAGCTTCCTGGTCTATTAAGTGGGAGTAACAATCATACCAACCTCATGAAGTTTTGCGAGAATTAAATGAGATGCTATAGAGAGAGCATTTAGGGTGGTGTCTGACACAGAGCAAATGCTTCATAAATGCTAGTTATTGTTAGCATGAAAAGCAGAAACAAATAGTTATTTCCTGAACTTCTCTTTGGACCTCTGTTGGGGATATCTTCCATAGATGTGCATTTATTTATTTATTTATTTTAGTTGAATAGACAGGGACACGGATGTGCATTTAGCTAGAGGTGGGCCAGCAGCTGGCAACGGGCGTTTCGGCCCAAGTGCCCTTCCCTGCTTCTTGCCCTGACTGTTCTCTTCCGTGTGATTCCTTGTCTGTGGCTCCACAGGAGCTATTTCCAGCTCTTTGCCCTTCTCCCTGCAACGGAGAGGACTGAATCAATGCAAGCAAAATGTTCTCAGATCTGAGCATTTAAAAGGATGTGTCATAACAGGAATAATTATAACCACTTTATTATGGTTAAACCTCCAAATAACCTTTAATAATCAATAGCTTTTCTTCTGGAGTTTTTGTTGCTCCATTTTCAAAGGAACAGTTACATAATGAGTAAAGCTGCCAGCCGGGGATGGTGGTGGCGGGGTGGTGGCTGAGTCTCCCTTGAGCAAGCCAAGTCAGTGGACTAGGACCCCACCTTCTCTGAGAATCCATCTCCCATCAGCTCCTACCACCACGTAAACAACACCTGTCTTTTAACCTTTGGGGAGATGATGGAATTGCCTGAACTTGCACAAATTTGCGTCCATCTCCAAGAAATTCTTAGAACCATGGAGCTCTACTCTTGGTGCTCAGTAGGCTCTAAGCTCAGTGCCTTGACCAGAAGATCCAACCTCAAAGGGTGGTCACACATTACGCACATTCTACAGGGCCCCCCAAACTGGCAGGACTTGAGAGGTCCTTTACCCACCCTCCAAGCCCCCTTCACATGGGAAGCTGAGTGCCAGAAGGGGCAGAGAGCTGGGACTCGGGGGCCGTTGCCAACTGTCCATCCTGCAGCGACCCTGAGACATGCTGCCTTCTGCACACCGCCTTTGGTGGCTTTCCATAAATACCTACCTCTGTAACCTTGATGAGCCTCATTTCACCAAGTGAATTACACCAAAAGTCAGTTCCCTGTCTTACTCTTGACAAATATTAAAAAAATGTTCTATTGTGGGCTGAAACATGTGCTTTAGCTCTGTAGGAGGATTTCAGAGCTAATTCTTACCCTTGCTCGCATCTTTTCCAAAGATGCTTCTTTCTTGCAGTAGTTTTATTCCTATGGTTAAAACTTTTTGTAGAAAGAAAGGGTTGATGGCATCCATAGTTTCTTTGCCAGGCTCCTCCCATTCTAGTTCACTCCCCACTTCTTGAGCACCTTCTGAAGGGGAGGCAGGAGGGCGAGGACTCAGAGACAAGTTGAGCAAAGTAAAGCCATTTCGGCTTTAGGCTGACCCTTTAACCTAAGAGTTGGCAGGTCATAAAAAGAGTTAACAAGATCCGACTCCCGGAAGACCACAAGACCCCTCCGGCAGTAAAAGCCACAAAGGTCTGACATTCTTAAAATTGCTCCCTGCAGGTAATTTCATGATCCTAAAACAATGGAAAAACACACCACCCAATGTAAAAGATAAACTCAAAGTTAAAGAGTGAACCCCTCCCTATATGGTTAGCTAAAAAAAACAAAAAACAAAAACAAAACATCTAAAATCCTTTATTAGAGGCAAAGGAGTGTCCTATTCCTCTACCGGAAGGAGAGACCACTACTTTGTGAGGTAGCTCCTTTCTTCTAGATTTAATAAATCTTGGTCCCTTTCTCTCAATGGCTTGCTCTTGAATTCTTTCCTGTGCAAGGCCAAGAACCTTCTTGGCGATGGGCCTGAGGCCCTCTCTCTGGGGCCTCGGCCCCATTCCGCATCAGAGGTAAGTCACATTAGTAACATGTACCTGTGAACTTGGCTATGTGTGACGCGTATGTTTGCATCATCTTCTAATACTAATAGGAAGATTGTCTTTTATTTTAAATAAAAGACATAATTAACATTTTAAAAATAAATATAATTTAAATGCTCTTTTAACTGAATCTTAAATTATTTCATAATAATTCCACTAAAGTTATGGTGCACCCACCCTGGGCCAGCACTGACTCTGTGAACTGATACTCACACTCACTGACCTTCCCCATGGAGAAGCCCTGGCCTCAGTATGTTGAATGGGCCCCACACCGTATCGCCACCATACCCTGTCTGTCAGGGTCCTGCACTGACATTCTCTTTGCACTCAATGCTGCTAATGAGCCCAGGTTACTTCCTGCGAAACTCTGAAGCCAGAACTTACTCACACCAGGTCTCCTAGGAGCCTGTTCTCTTAACGCCTGAGTATTAGTGAGGACATAGTCCCTGCTTTCAAAGAGCTGCCGATCATTAAGGACTAGAGTTTTAGATTTCACATGATAAAACAAAATACATTTCCACAAGTAAATGGGTCTAAAAAACCCATTTAGCTATTGAATCTAACAAGAAAATATGTCTTCTGAAGAAAATAGGTTTGTACCACATTGTTGAATGCATTTCCTATTCACAGGATTAATTCTAAATCACTTTTCAGTTAATTTTACTGTAGTTGTCCTGTGGATGACAACTCCCTGAGAACCCATCTAGTCCAGTATTGGTGTAGGGAAGATTTTCTTATTGTCTATATAGCATTGAAGAGGGTGCCCTGTGCAAGCAGAAGACTTGGAGATGAGTCAACATGGGGTTGGCACCCCAGCCTGGTATCTGTTGGCAGTCTTCTCTTAGACCTGTTGTTTGGGATAGCGGAACCTCAGCTGCATCGTCTGAAAATGGCACGAATAGTATCTACCTTGTAAGGGTGCTTGAGGAAAAATGAGACCAAATTTGCCAAGCAGCTGGTACAAACCCTCCATCCTGTTAGTTACTATTTTTAGCCAAAAAGGGGGCAGTGAAAAGCCAAGACTGCCTCTAGTTCAAGCATCATTCATCATAAATGAAAATTAAAACCACAGTACGTACCTTTTTTGTCAAGATGAAGGCAGTTTCCACATGCAAACTCATCCAATTTAGGATGCCTTCTCTTGTTGACTGGCTTCTCCCAAGCTATTTTATAAGCTTCATAGGGTCATTGATGTTTACTTTTAATGCATGCCACACCCCCTCCAGTTCAGGAAGGCTGGCCTAAAAGCTTAGCTCTGTACCAAACACAGAGATGGGATGTTTTGTCCATTTCCCTCCCCCAATTTCCTTCACAGCTGCTCCCTGCAAAAGAAACAATGAGATACTGTGTGTGTGTGGATGTGAGAGAGAGAGAAAGACAAAGTGCATTTCATTCAAAACATCTTTTTTGCTCTGTGGGTTTTCTAATTTAATTTTCTCAGTCAGAATGCACTTTTAAGTTCCAGCAAGATGAGTTGCAACATGTTTTTGAGCATCTGGTATTTATTTTTCATTTTTGTGTAAATGAAAAATCAACAGTCTCATTTCCTGACATGGAGCATGAATTCCACCCCATGTGGTCTCTGGCGTGGAATGTGGCTCAGGCAACAGGGTGAAGGTTAAGAATTAGAGATGGCTTTTTTTTTTTTGTGATCCTGGGGGAGCCACCCACTTCTCTGAGTCTCAGTCTCCCCACGGTGAGGTAGGGACTGTCATTTCTGTCTCTGCCAGAGCTGAGCGTACAGGGAAGTTAACCAGTTGGGAAAGAGCTGGGGCTAAGAGCTGAGAATGCCAAAGGTATCTTGCGCAGCTTCTCCATCTGGACCGCTCATCCCCCCTGCCCCCCCCGCCCCCCCGGCCAGCTGCATATTCTCCGTGGCCTCTTCCTGCCTGGGGTAGAAGTGGACTTAAGTCGCTCATTCCACAGAGATGGGGCTGGGCCTCATCTCTCTTGGTGGAATGAGCAGCTTTGAATCTTAGAACTTGGATTCTGTGCCTTTGTGATAAGGCAGGAGGTGTTTTTAGGGGCATGTAGATAAGACAGTACCTTTGTAGGAGACTTCAATTCCCAAATAAAATGCATTCTCCAATTCCTAAGCAATAGAGAGAAATTTATAGCACCAGGCCTTATACACATGAAAATAACAACAACAGCAACAAAAGCGAATCCTTGACATACCAGACCCTGAGAGAGAGAACAGGAGAAGCTCTGACTTCCGTTCAGGCCCTCACTTGCTGGGTCCCTCAGTGCTCTGCTGGCTCTCGCCCTCTCTCCTCCTGTGTCCTTGCTCAAATGTTACTTCCTTTAAAAGGCCTTCCTGACCTTTGAAAAATAGTGCTCTTGTCACTACCACTTTGCCTGCTTTATTATATCCTTGTTATAGCTTTACCTGAAATTATACCCCTGATTTGATGTATTTTTTGCTTCTTGTGTTTCCCCACTAGTATATAAGCAACACAAGTGCAGAGAATTTGTCTCATTGACTCCCTGCTGTACCCCCCAGTGCAAGAATACATTATAAGCACTCAATAAATAAATTGAATGTAAGGGATCTACCTATGCAAAGAATTTACTGAGGGGCGCCTGGCTGGTTCAGTCAGTGGAGAGTGCGACTCTTGATCTGGGGGTTGTGAATTCCAGCCCCATGCTGGATGTAGAGATTACTTAAAAAAAACCCAAAACATTTTTTGGGGCACCTGGCTGGCTCAGTCTGTAGAGCGCGTGACTCTTAATCTCAGGGTCGTCAGTTTAAGCCCCACATTGGTCGTGGAGCCTACTTAAAAAAAATAAATAAAAAAGGATTTACTGAGAATTCTAAGGTCTGCAAAAGGAACTAGAGGTAGGGCGCCTGGCTGGCTCCGTTGGTTAAGCGACTGCCTTCGGCTCAGGTCATGATCCTGGAGTCCCGGGATCGAGTCCCACATCGGGCTCCCTGCTCAGCAGGGAGTCTGCTTCTCCCTCTGACCCTCTTCCCTCTCGTGCTCTCTATCTCTCATTCTCTCTCTCAAATAAATAAATAAAATCTTAAAAAAAAAAAAGGAACTAGAGGTAGAGACTTTTATTTGAATTGTTTTTCTGGGAAACTATTAACCTGTAAATTTCTGTGTCTTCTTGACCCGCATCACATTTGTTACCAGGAATTGCCTGTCATTGAAGAAATACACAGTTAATCTCTCGTTAACCTCATAAAAAGAATATTTTCCTTTACTCTAAATAACCACATAGTTTTCCACAAAGCAATGTTGCTCAAGTTTCCAAATGTGTAAGTTGGAGATCGATATATTTTATCTTTTTTTTTTTTTAAGATTTATTTATGTGGCACCTGGGTGGCTCAGTCCGTTAAGCGTCTGCCTTCGGCTCAGGTCACGATCCTGGGGTCCTGGGATAAAGCCCCACGTGGGCTCCCTGCTCAGCAGGGAGTCTGCTTCTCCTTCTGCCCCTCCCCTGCTTGTGCTCGAGCTTTCTCTCTCTCTCTCAAATAAAATCTTTTAAAAATTTAAAAAAAATAAAAGATTTTATTTATTTATTTGAGGGAGAGAGAGAGTGCAGGGGAGAGCAGTAGGGAGAGAGGGAAAGAGAGTCCCAAGCCGACTCTGCATAGAGTGCAGAGCCCAATGGGGGGCTCGATCTTACAGCCCTGCGATCAGAACCTGAGCTAAAACCAAGAGTCGGTCCCGTAACTGACTAAGCCACCCAGGCACCCCGATATATTTTATCTTTTATTCCTCATCTTGAATCAGCTGACTGTACTGGCCTAGGAGTCACAGCCTGAGAAAAATCACATTATCTTTCTGAATCTCAGTTTATTATTTCCTCTAAATGTTGGCAAATGATATAATTTAGGGAAATCCTCTCTTGGCATGTTTCTGGAATGTAGAGCGAAGCACGAGTTTTTATGCATCATAAAACAAATCAGACCTATGTTCTAAATAAATCTTTATTTTTAGTTTTTATTTTATTTTTAAATTCCAAAATAGTACACATTTATTGTAAACAATTAAAATAGTACCAAAAGGTAGGACTCAGAAACTCTAAGTGCCTCATAATCCCACACCTCATGACCATTGTTATGTTTGCATTTATTCTCCCTGGGAATTCCTACACAGATCCTAATATAGTAACAATAGTAGCCACAATATCCAGTATCCTGAAACTTGCTTGTTTTCATGTAATAACGTATCTCGTTGTCTATCCATAATCTCCGTCAGTCTCTCACCTGCTGCAAAACTTTGCTTTTACCTGACAGCATATTTTTTCAAGGACACAGTCTGTGGTTTCACAGGGAAGTAGCTTTTTGGGTGGGTGATCTGCCATCATCCAGGGGCTTGCTTCAGGAGTTTCACTAACACTCTCAGGGAAGATGAATTTGTTTCGGTGGACTTTTTGTAGTAAGAAATAGAAAACCGTTCCATCTTTTTTTTTCTTTCTCTTCAAGTGTTTCTCTGGTAAACATGTCTTCATTAATACGTGGTTCTCTCAAATGCTGGAGTCATCCTGCCTGCCCTTCTGAAGTGATTTTTCTTTTGTCAGTTAAAGGGACAATACAACGGTACTTTTCGTGTGAAAACCCAGACTAAGGGCTTCCGATGACACATAGGCACGCTCTGAGACTCAGCTCAGAGTTCCACTCGCTGGGACGTCTTCCTGACTCTTGCCCGCTCTGTTCAGCCGTCCTTGCTCTCGGCACATGATGCTTGTTCTCAGGCGCACCGCAGCAGGGTGTGCTGGCATCGCCGCAGGCCTACAGGCTCCTTCTGGAGACCGTCCGATCCTTCAGAGTAGGGTTGTGTTTCTATCCCTGGTTAATTGCTTAACGCCAGGTACATAATAAATGTTTACTAAATCTTATTGGGTGGTTGAATGAATAATAGAATGTTCCATTCTCATTATTTGTGGGGATGACTGTGTACTTCTTGATTCATTCAGAGGCCCTCTTTCCTCCCCTTCCTGTTCCCTTAGAGCCATTTCCTTTATCACGAGGAGCTGGAACCAGTTGAGAGTTGAATGGTGCCAAGTATCTGGTGAACAGCAAGAAAGCAATCAAACTGTTAAAGCAGCGGGGTCCCTGGCTGGCTAAGTCAGGAAAGCATGCGACTCTTGATCTTAGGGCCGTAAGTTCAAGCCCCACATTGGGCCTAGAGCTTATTTACAACAAAACAAAACAGGGACGCCTGGGTGGCTCAGTCGTTAAGTGTCTGCCTTCGGCTCAGGTCATGATCCCAGGGTCCTGGGATCGAGCCCCGCATTGGGCTCCCTACTCTGTAGGAAGCCTGCTTTTCCCTCTCCCACTCCCCTGCTTGTGTTCTCTCTCTCGCTGTGCCTCTCTCTGTCAAATAAATAAAATCTTTAAACAAACAAACAAACACACAAAACAAAACACAACTGGTAAAGCTGCAGCTCGCCATGGCCCTGGGGAATAACACCGAATTGGGAGACAGGAGACCGGGGTTCTGGTCCCACCTCTGGTACCAATTCATTTACCCATTCACTCACTCTTTCAGCAATATTTGTGCAGCACTCAGTTCTAAGTCCTGCAGATGTAGTGGTGAGGAAGAAAGACAAGGTCCTAATTCTTGTCTTCCAGGGGAGAGTCCAGCACACACACAGTAAAAGGTGATGTGATGGGGAGTGTCTGGGTGGCCACTTCAGTTTTGTGGTGAGGAAGGGCCTCCCTGAGAACTGACATTTCAGCTGAGATGTGAAGGAGGAAAAGGAGCCAGTCACTCAAGGACCATAGGGATATGAGCATTCCAGGATGAAGAGCCAGGGCCAGTGTCCTAAGGTGGAAACAGAGTTTGTGTTGTCAAGCGACAGAAAGAGCGTGTGGCTGGAGTAGAGAGAGTGAGGAGAAACATGATTGAAAATGAGTTTGAAGAGGTGGGTGGAAGCCGTATACTATCCTGCTTTGAGGAATTTGGATTTTATTTTAAGTACAGTGGGAAGCTAGTGGAGGGTTTTAAGCAAGAGTGTGAGAAGATCATTCAGGCTTTCCTTCCAAGAATGGATGGCAGGATGGCTACAGAGGGATCAGCTGGGAGCATTGCAGTCATTCAGGCAGTGTGGACTTAGGCTAGGGTGATTGTAATGAAAATGGAGAGAAGTGGATGAATTTGGAATATGCTCTGTAGATAAAGTGGACAAGACTTGCTGACAGATTGAATGTGGAAGATGAGGAAAGAGAGGAATCAAGACCGAATCCTAGATTTATAGGTTGAACAACAGGATGGATGCTCGTCTAATGACTAAAAGTAGGAAGACTGAGGAAGGAACAAGTTGGGTAGGAAAACTCGAGTTCTTCATGGATAAATTATGTCTGAGTTGCATATTA